ATTCTTCTTTCTTTAAAGAAAACATATTAGTCAAAATAAAACATCATTGACCAATTATAAACAGTTAGTCATTCTACAGTAAAAATTTGCCTGTCATAACACAGTGTTTAGCTTAAAATTGACCCGTTACTCACGTAAATTAATTGCAAACGACCGTGACTAAATGCGTCTCAGTAGGCGATCAGCTGTACACTAAATGGAAACCCCGATGGGATGAAATTCCTAAGACTTTGCAAAATAGGGTAATGTTATCCCATTATTTTGAATGCTATAAAATACCACGTGGAATTTGCCTAATTATCATGTGTATCGTAGTTGTGATCTAACGGTTATCTGTCTGCATATTTGTGTTTGTTCGCCGCTGATGTTTTTTTGATTTTTCACATATGCGAATAACTTGGCGTAAATGATTGGAGACAGGAATATGAACCCTCTGTGCTACCGGTGACCGTGCGATAAACTCTTGTCGGTCACATTTCCCCCTTCCTAGATTTAAAACCAACCCTGAACTCTGAAATTAAATGCGAAATCACCTGTAATAGGGGTCCACCTCTCCGTGTTCCGTCTAGAAAGTAATTACGAAAGCCCACAAAGACCACAAAGTTGCTGTTTACTTGGTGAATTTCCGTCGCCGCCATCGTTGAGTTAATTTTGTAATGTGCACCGCATAGTCGAATTAATCCAGTTGTGGAATATTTAGATATTTTAAATATTTTGCAAGCTTTTTGTGTTCATGGGGTGAACGCGACTTAGAAGAAGATAGATGGCTAGTTTATGGGAGGGAAGGAGGTTGAAAACAATTTAGAAATGAGAAGAGGGGAGGTTTATGATGTCGTGTAATGAACCTTCATTATCATCGACTATGGGATAATTCTGCATCCAACGACCCACTCTACGCTCAGTTAGTACAACCGCGTTAATTTGCCGCTGGGCAACCGTCAGTTTAATTGAAAGACCTAAGCGCTCCTCACAGAACGGGCTATGCTGACCTAGCGTGGTGAGATGAAATTGTATACGGTTTCCATTTTACTCCTCCGTTACCAACAGAGGTGTACTTTTAACTTTCAAAAAATACGGGTTTGCTCGACAGATAGGGCAGTATGTTTTACGAACAGCCTGATGCCGCACGCAGTGTTTGAGCATTAACGTCTTGTTCTTGACATTAAGTGAGGAAAGTGTTTAACTGTTTAATGCTTTTAATATCCGCGGCTTCACACGGCCGAGCAGAAGAAGTAAATAATCATCAGTTACATCTTTACTGAATGCCTTTCATAATATGAACACTTTTTGAACTAACAACTTATGAACTTAGATTCCTTTTATATGATATACTGTAGGGGAGAAGTTCCCTTCGAATTTAATTGTGTATAAGAAGTGCCATGACATCGAAGGTGTTATTATTGCTGTGCTGTGGGCTTATACATTTCACTTTAAAAACATAAAAAGGACCATATTCAAAGACTGCAAGTAACTGTTCGATAAGTGCGAAAATTATCTGAGTGCTTTTTAAGTTAGATATGCACAAACAAGGCGTCAAGCGTAGAATAGCTGAAGATAAGTCTTATTTTTTGAAACATAGTGGGATGCCATACAAATGTCGAAGCCAACATTTTTGGACAGATCTTTCTAGGAAAATTAAAGCTCAGAGAATTAACGTTTGATATTATTTGCTTGAGCTATTTTTGAGATACATGACTGAGTTACCGCAAATACTGTTAATAAAAAATGCTCATCGAGGCATTTTCTTAATACAAATTTTTCTTAATACAAATTACGCAGTAACCTGGAAAGACGCTCACGTAAAAGCCAGAATGCTGTCATTTATGATTGACAAAATAAATGAATTTCAAAGTAAACATTCTTATGCTGAATTCTGAGATTCTTTTCTATCCCAAATCTCATTCAAATAGCATTGTTAATGCTATATTCACCTCTGCGCTAGTCAAAATCAGTTGACTGTCCAAAAAATTTTTCGAATTGCGAATAAATTAAGTACGATTAAACATCAAGCTGTATAATTCGCCTCTACTGCCCAATGTAATATCACCGGGCGATATGGCACATTTCGATTATTCGAACTTGTAATAAGGATAATGATTCGTGAATGGATGCTTAGAAATTTTATTTCGATATCAAATGCATCGTCTGTCCAGTATTTAAAGTCAACTCTTTAAGAACTTCTGTGTATTGCTACTCCCAAACAGACCATGCTAAGACCCGGTTCGCTGTTGTCCTTTTGTAAATGGTGCCGTTAAACTGAGAATTTTAGAAGTAGTAAATCCCAAGAAAAAATTTTCTTGTTCGTTTAAAAAATATAATGAAATCAAATGAGGTATATTTAATACTATAGTTATTGTTTAGGGTAAACTTATCACTTCGCTTGACCATTTAAAATTAATCGTCATAGAAAATGTTCACTAAAAGCAAAGAAAACAGATTACGCACCTTTTGTATTTGGAGGCTACTAAATTATTGCGAAGTGGGTGGCAAACTCTTATAGTAAACTGAATGAGACGCAACAGATATTGCTTGCAAGAAAACGCTTAAAGGCTGTTTCGGAGGTTGAATGTCAGCTGATTTTACCGCGGAACACTTCTTGCGTGGTAAGTCGCTGGATTTTAGTTCATCATACTAGTAGTTATTTAAGAAAATCGCAGACTCATAGAGATGATTTTTTTATGACGTTTGCATTCTTCCATTGGTTTTGGAACAGCTCATTGCATTCGCTGCAAATTTTGGCCCAACGAATAAAAAATATTTATATCTTTTGTCTGTTTGTTTGTTTATTAGAACGTCTAGATTGAGAAAGGACATCTTAGGTCCCGCGCGTTTGCAATGATTAAAAGTTTTTATACTCCAAACAACTGTCCAAATTGTCCAAATCTTTCAAGTTCTGCTTAAGAACATAAAATGACATAATAGTACCGCAGAAATTTAGGACTACTACCCTGACTCCTGTGAATCGCATGAAAAGCTTTATTTCACTCAAAATATGTTAGCCGGCATACAATTCTGACTCTTAGTAAAAATGTAACCGCATATGGATTTGAGGATAATTCTTTTGATGGTGTTCATCAGTAAAACTTAAAGGTATCATCTCCGTGTGAGACAAATGCTAGGGTATAATTATCTAAAGACGAAATATTCGAAGGGCAGTATTTGAGGGTTCTAATATGCGATTGGGAGTATAAATGAGTTAGACGTTTGCTGAGGAACAAATTACGTCCAACTATTAATTGGTGCTCTTTGAGTTACTTTGTTCTTATCGCAAATTCAACAGCAATTTCATGGTGATTTGTACCCGGAAACATAGCTAGGAATAAAATTCGACGTTCGGGGATTTCTGTCGATTATCATGATCCGTTTATATTAGATGCAGACCGAAACAATCCGCATGCAGAATGCCGTACTGGTCCTTGGTTGATAAAATGGCTTGGAGGGTAAGGTACTGTGCCAAGTCTGTTATCTTCCAAAAACCCAGGTGGTTACTTCAAAAGCACTTGTTTTGCAGTCAAAGGGGGTATTTTAGAATCAAAACTACTTATAGAATATGCGTTTCCAAACAATGCAAAAAGGGATGTTCTTTTCATAAGTGATGCAATTTGCTAATTTATGGTGATTTTTTGTCTCTCATCATGGTATTGTTAAAAAAACATAGAATAATACAAAGGCTACCTACTGTACATTTGGATTGTTGGTTTACAGTTCTGTTAGTAGGTTAACTAGGAGCTTTTCGAAAACCCGCGAACTATTTCCGGGTTTCCGGAACGATATAGCTGCTCCATGATGCACTTGCATAATAGCTGGAGAGAATCGCGCGCGTCCAAGGAAAAGGTATAACTACGATAGACTAAAGGAGTGAAGATCGTTAGCCATAGGGTGCGCAAAACCGAAGGAGAGAAGTCGTGTTGGATATGTTGTGAACAAGGATGTGAGATCAAGTCCGTTTCGTCTAATGTCAGAAGTCAGGGAGCTGTGAGGACTAGTTTATTCTCTACACAGGGCAGGTTGCCGTAAGTTGGCTGCTTGCTTGCAACAGAGATAAGCGTCCGTTCACGGAGAGCGTCAGTCCCGGTGTGTAACTTTACGCTGGAGTGAATATCTGTGTCAGTAGGTGGGGGTTGACTGGCTGAGATTGAACGAATTAGGGGAGACATAATCACAGGGCCTCACGGATATCAAGCCAGGTCGTCCGACGCGCGTGAGGTGATAATAGTTTGTGAGGGCAGCCGGGAGTCATTGCAGCTGGACAGGAGGGGCCCTAGTTCTAACCGGCGGGGGTGGTCGTGCGTCAGGCGCCTGGCAACGATTGTCGCGGTCATCGACCGACAAAACGAAGCCGGAGAAACGGTCGTCCTTGTGGCGGAAGCCATCTTGAAAGGGCATCAGCAACCACATTTTCCTTACCATGGACATGTTGGATGTCGCAGGAAAACTGTGAGATGAAATATGGATGACGAATTTCACGGGGCGAGCATCGATCGCGAGAGGCCCTTAGCGCAAAAAATGAGTGGCTTGTGATCTGTTAGAACGACAAATTCGCGACCCTCGAGGAAATATCAAAAGTGCCGGAAGAATAAGTAGACGGCGAAGACACTGTAGCGGGTCTCTGCTGGGCTGAGTTTCTTCGAGAATAAAGCCAGAGGCTGTAGAACACCATTAACAGTTTGCTGAATTGATGCACCAAACGGCAGTGCTGAAAGCGTCTGCCATGAGAGTTAATCGGGTATCAGCGCGTGGGTGGGCAAGCAGTGTTGCGCTCGCAAGTGCGACCTTGACGTCATTGAAGGACTTGACGGCCTCCTCAGTCATCCCTAGTGTTTTCTTAGAGTGAGCCAACGGGCTGTTGAGTGGCTGCAGTATGGAGACACCATGGGGAAGGAAACGGTGATAGTAGTTCACCATCCCCAAGGACCGGCGTAATTAGTTGATGGTTGTTGGAACGAGAAACGTTGATATGGCCGAAAGCTTTTCTGGGACGAGCTTTATCCCATCAGATTTCACTTCATGACCCAGAAGATTAGGCTGGGAACTCCAAAGTCACATCCTGCAGCATTGATTACAGCGCAGAAGGAGTCAAGTCGTCCGGAGAGTTGTCGATGATGAACCTCGGGTTCAGCAGCATCAGAACTAGCCACCAGCAAATCATCAATGTAGGCGTAGACGAAGTCGAGACCTCGCAGAACCTGATCAATGAATCACTGAAAGGTTTGAGTGGCATTCGTCAGTCCAAAGGGCATACGAGTGAATTCGATTAACCCAAAGGGAGTGGTCACGGCAGTTTTCGGCACATCACTGGCCTCGATGGGGCTTTGGTGCTAAGCACGAACAAGGTCAATCTTGGAGAATATCTGCTTACCATCCAGAGAAGGAATGAAGTCTTGGATGCGCGGGACGGGATACTGGTCGGGGACAGTCACTGAGTTCAACGCCCGATAGTCACCACACGGTCGCCAGTCGATACTATTCTTTGGGACAAGATGGAGGGGTGATGCCTAGCAACAGTCGGACTGTCGGATGATGCCGAGTTCAAGCATGTGTTCGAACTTTGCCTTGGCAATCTTCAAAAGGTCCGTAGCAACAAAACGTGGTCGGCGGGATTTGAGATGTCGAGTGGTGGAAATGTGGGTGACTGTGTGTTTGATGTCCACTTCACGAACTGAGGGGTTGGTCAGGCGGGGGGAACTGCCTGATGAGTGCGTGGAAAGGACAGTCAAAGATGGGTAGAACAGTGAGAGGGTTGACGCAGGGGATGAGATCGGATTGACAACGGGCATGAAGGTTGGTGATGCAGTCGACGAGTCGGCGATTCCTCAAATCTACTAGTTGACTGAAGTGAGCTAGGAAATCGGCACATATGACGGCGACGGAAACTTCGGCAATCATAGAAACCCATCGGAAAATGCAACGAAGGCCCAAATCAAGTGTGCTGGAGCGCTGTCCAAAGGTTGAGATGCTGGAGTTGTTGGCAGTTGTTAGAAAAAAAGAGCTACCGCTTTTGCGTTCGGCCGGAGTTGATGGAACCACACTAACCTCGGCACCAGAGCCGACAAGGAATTTGACGCCAGCAATACGGTCCCAGAGAAACAAACTGCGTGCGTGGAGATTGGCAACGCTTCCAGCAGCAGTGGTCTCTACCGTCGGCGGGATCGTTTCCCTGAGGCCTTGAAAGAGCATGGTTGAAGACATCGTCGAGTTGCTTCTCCAAATTGTTGGAGATACCAGCAGACGCTACCTAGAGATTGTGGACAGCGGGTGTGGAAAACGCAGGAAGTACGCCGACGGCTTGGTGTTCGCGCGGGCCGTTAGTGGTATCTGCAGTGAGCTGGGCTTTCAGGCGCATTAATACCTCCTCGAGCCGATCCAAGCGTATGTGAGTTCCTTGAGAATTTGGGTTGATGAGTGACTTCTGGTCTTGGGACATCGCGCTGTAGGTCGCCGGAAGATTGTTGATGTGGACGAAAAGTTTGCGGAATTCCAGCGTTCCGAAATTCGGGGCCACCAATTTGTGGCGAACAAGGATGTGAGATTAACTTAAACCACGCGCAATAAGTCCGTTTCGCCTAGTCAGAAGTCAGAGAGCAGTGAGGACTAGTTTATTCTCTACATAGGGCAGGTTGCCGTAAGTTGGCTGTTCGCTTGCAACAGAGATAAGCGTCCGTTCACGGAGAGCGTCAGTCGCGGTGTGTAATTTACGCGGGAGTGAATGTCTGTGGCAGTAGGTGGGGGCGACTGGCTAAGATTGGACGGATTAGGGGGAGACATAATCACAGGGGCTCACGGATATCAAGCCAGGTCGTCCGACGCGCGTGAGGTGATAATAGGTTGTGAGGGCAGCCGGGAGTCACCGCAGCTGGACAGGAGGGGCCCTAGTTCTAACCGGCGGGGGTGGTCGTTCGTCAGGCGCCTGGCAACGATTGTCGCGGTCATCGACCGACAAAACGAAGCCGGAGAAACGGGGGGAATGGAGCGGCTGCCCCAGGAATGGAGCCCGCCCCAGTCATGCAAATTGACCCTCTTTAAGCTGTGACGAAACTCACACCGGCAACATGAGAGGGTGGTTCCGGTTTGATATGCCAGGTTAAGTACTGTTAGATATTTTTCCGTCCTCGATGTGAAAGTGACCATTCCTACGTGAGTATTTTTCAGTGGCATCTACCGAAACGGGACGACTTCACACAAAACATACTTTTAGTGATGACTTATTTGCAACTCAATTCCTCGCGTACGCCGACTCGAGCTCCTCTGCACTCGCCCTTCCATATTTTTCTTGCGGTCAGCCTCTCCTAGTTGTTTAGTTTATCGGTACTTCCAGACTATTCACTATTTCGGAGTGGATGCTTGTTCCAGTGCTTTTATAAACAATGAAAGGCTGTTAGACGTTTAAAAAGGTTAAAAATCACGTTCTGGCTATCCAAATACTAAACCGACCCTATACCTCCCGAAGATCCTCGTTCAGGCTCCGCGCTTGCCATGGTGAAAGGTTGACTAACCACATACAACTTTCTGCGCCCTTCCGCTCTTGTCTATTTTGTATTTTAAAAACTAACTTTTATCGATTTTTTCACTCACTGTACCCCATCGCATATAACTGTACTGGTTTGACGAGAAGGTATCGAAAGCAACGTTCGCTCACCACCTTTTCTTCTGAATCATGTATTTACATAGGTAACATAAACGACACAGGTCATAAGCTTCAGCCTCAAACATTCGGTCATTCACGAACGCATTTGCATATTACCCTTGTGCGGCGCGTTGAAACGCACGGCAATAGACCGGAAAGTACTGTTGTTGAATTACAATACCCTGGACGGGTGGACAGGGCGAACGACTGCTCACGTGACGTCGTTAACCGGTGCATGAAAATACTATGTGCAAAATCAAATTTCGCCGAACTGTAATTTTCCAAACGCACCCGTACTTCAAGAAAATGCTTGACGCCATCAACCTTTCCTCTACCTAACACGCCGAGTTTGGATTGCGCACAAATCAGAAGCAAGATTTCGACGCCAAAAGGCTAAAAGGCCGGCTGCCATGACACGGAATATTTGGGTCTGATGAGCCTGGGGAAGAACAACAACGACAAAGAAACAGAAAGCTATTTTCATGCGGGGATGGACAAACACACCCCGACATGAGGAGAACGAATAGCACTCCCCGAACCTCGGCTTATCTGACGGGACTGCAGCGGTCTCATCAGTCCGGTGCGGCCGACACTTTTCGACTTGTGAACTGGAAGAGGCAGGTAGTTCAGCAATGAGTCCGGCTAAAGAAGCTGCGTGTCTAGCTGCAGGTTTCTTATTTCACCAATTGCAGCAGTCTTCTATTAACGCCTTATGTGCCCCTCTGAATAATGCGCAACATTATGCCCAATTATGTCTGAGAATGAATTTTCTGCTTTACCAGAAGTCATTTAGACTCATTCAATGCCCTTACTGCTCCCAAAACTAATGGCGTCTGTACGTACGAATTCCATCATTTACATTAGACTGACACTTTTTGCCTCCATGATACCAAGCAAACATAACGACCAACATGATTAATCGGTGTTATTATTTGCAAACTGTGTTACTTAAATATAAATGGTAGACGTTTATGTTTTAACGTAAATGACGGAGAGTACAATGGATTGTTTTTTTATAAATAAAGATGAACAATGGACAACTTTTTGCATAATAATAAAGGAAGAACTGATGGTTCTTCTACAAATATGAGCTGAATATTTTTTATGTTAGGAAAAAATAATTGTTGAAGATCCCGCCTAGGCCTTGTTTCTAAGGCTGCAAATGGTGTTGCTCTTTAACATTCTGTGATTAAAACGGTTACGGGAAAACAGTTAATGTACCTGCTGGCCTGACCTTTTTATGGCCGGCAGTTCAAATAAATATCAAGAAAGAGTCTGCTGAATACGAGAGTGGGAAAATTATTTACTATTTGTTAAATATGAAATGCAGTGGTCGGGTAAGGCCCTAATTTATAAAGTGGAGGAACAACAAACATACAAGCCGAGGGAGAGGAGTTAACATTTCGTACACTTTGAATAACTGAGCCAAAGCTGGTAAGATTGTTTGTTCAGATGACACATCCCTACCTATCGCTTAATTGAATATGATATGAATTTCTCATTAGACAACGAGGAAATATGTAGCTACGGACAATAAAATAAAATCGACGACTAATACTTAGTCTGGTAAGCAGCTTAAGGACTCTACTTATATAATTGTGGTTATACTTAATTATCTCGCCAAGTTGATTTTGAAGGAGAGAGGCTTATGTGTAAGAGGCATTTACGTTATTGGCTTCAAACCGATTTTGCGTCCTATCGGTTCTAATGGTGTCCGACATTTCGATAATCGCGAACCAAAATGTGCACCCTGTGCCACGGCTCGACAGGCGCACAGCAATTACGAGTTATTTTAAAGTTATAGAAGACTTGAAAACCATCCGCCGCATTCTATTGTCCCTCGCCCACCTCAAGGGGGTCGCAGGACATGGTCAAGAGGGTCGAAGACGGACTCTGGCGCAGTGGTCAGTAGAGCTAAAAACTTGTCCACGAGCGGCACACACAACATGATAGGCCTGAAAATGCACCAGTTTTCATAAAATGGAGCCGCAAAGATGTTCCCTAATTGCAAATACTGTGACGTTAACAAACAGAAGCATGCGTTGTAACTCTATACTCATCATTTAGAAGGACCGAGTTTCCCCCTCAAATAGCAGCTTTCTGAACCACGGCTCACAACGCGTCGTGATGGATGAAGGTGTACCGTATTTATGATACTTGAGGATGCAGTGAGATGCCGGGGTATGGATTCCCCAGATGTGACCTCATTTGTTCTTCCATTTCGTGTTTACCAGTCGGTTATCTGAGCCAGTCGGCCACCTGGTTCTGGGTTTGGACCCAAGGACTGGTACGGCGCGAAGTCTGTCCCCATGTGCGCAAATATACCCCGATTTGTGGTCGTAGTTATAGGCTCTCGCAAAGTCTGTGTGACCGGATAACGGGCACCTAAACTCAGTCTGACCAGTATTTTGGTTTAGGGAATCTGCAAGTTCGCCAATATTGATGTTGTACCGAATGTCAGATAAAGCCGCATTAGGCGGGGTTCTTCAGTGGGTGCAAAAGGCCCGATCTAAAATGGTCGTCAAATATACATTTCCTGATAAGTGTTAGGGGGCGCTCACCGATCGTTCATACGGAACTCACTCGTTCCGTTGTGCCTTATGGACTCTCTCTCGAGCCCAACCAGCAGCCGCACAGCGGCGCATGATATATAGGCAGAATAGTATTACCGACAAAGACAAGGGAGACTGGAATGGCCATTTCTGGCTTATTAGCCGTCGTCAGCCAGCCATACCCAAGCCCGAAGTGTGGAACACCCGAGCCTCGAACTCGCGACCTGTTGGTTTAGAAGTCAACGCCTCTACTCACCGGGCCACGAGCCCGTTTCCTTGTCGGTTTTCGATCGGTTTTCCTGATAACAAAACCCTAACTTTGATGTATTTTCAACAAAAATACGAGAAAACAATCAATTTCTAATACTGATAATTGTTTTATTCGTTTTAGCATAACTTCGCAAAGTTTTTTGATATCTCTTTTAAAATGGATTAAAACCAAAGATTCATCAAGGTATTTTGCCTCACAAGCATGCCTTAAAAGTGCTTTTACATGCTCACGCTAATTAAAAGGAAAACGCGGTGAAACGGGAGCTCACCATTCTCAAAACATTTCTATCAGACACCGTCAAAGGCCATACGATATGGAACGTTTTGATCATCTAGAATATTACTCGGCCATCAGCTTAGAAATAACCATTTGCAAGGGGCAACACATTTCAAAGCCTTAGTGCAGAATGCATGGCATTCTAGTCTATCCGCACTTTAAAAAATAATGGAATGTGGTTTGCTGGCAAATTTTATTGGCGTAAAATCTTAAGTGCACAGCGCAACAGTTTTTTCGTCAGAAACAGCAAGTGCCAGCATTCTTAAATATGCTACACTTTTCCAGCATTTGATGCACCAAATGTTGTCTTATATGCAAGTATTTGTGCCCGAACGTGCACCGGGGAGATCTTCTGAACTGGATTAGGGCGTTTCTGGTTGGTCGGAAACAACGTGTCTGTATCGGGGATGATATGTCAGAATGGGTGAACGTGGCCAGTGTTGTACCTCAAGGC